CCTTCAGAGGCTCCGTAGGCCGGACACAAAGCGTTACGTCCTCAGACCAGCTCTTTGTCTGTTACAGAGGCCGGCAGAAGGGGAATGCCGTCTCTAAGCAGAGGATGGCCCACTGGACAGTGGATGCCATCACCCTGGCTTGTCAGGCACAGGGTGTGCCCTGTCCGCTCAGGTTGCAAGCTCACTCTTCTAGAAGTGTTGCATCCTCCTGGGCGCTGGCTCGTGGTGCCTCGCTGGGCAGCCAGACGTGGTGGAACGTCCGGCGCCAGGCCCTCACTCGATGAATCCGTGAGAACCGGTAGAGGGCTTGGTTCCATATGTAGAGACCTAAGTGGATCTTATATGTGTAAAGTCCACGGTATAGCCTCAGAGCCCGTGTTTCCCCGGCAGACTTCTGCCATTCCAAGAGGGTCAAAATCACCTCTAATCTTCCATATGCACCTAAACGGTTGTTCATATGTGTAAGTGCTTCTGAAACCTTCTTCGGGAAGGATGGGGCTTCCGCAACGTTCCTGGTTCCAAGTGGTACGGGTACGTTTTCCGAGTGTTATCCAATCTCACTGAGTGGGTAGTGATACGACAACAGTGACTGGCCTACACCAAAAGGGGGGGGGTGCAGGAGGCTCTCACAGGACACTGGAAGGGGCAGCATCCATGGTGTTTTCGTAGGGATCCCAGTTCATGGGGCATTACCGACGTGACGTCGAGAGTGACCAACCGAAAGGGAACGTCTCGGTTACGTATGTAACCCTCGTTCCCTGAAGGGAACGGAGACGTCACGTCCCGTCGCCACTGCTGCTGCACCACCGCTAAGCGGCCGGGTCACCGGCTCGGCTCCTCAGCGAAAACCTGAGTATGCATTGCACCTGCTGCCTAGTTATACTCGCGCTGTGATCAGCGGCAGCTGGATGCAATCATCACATGCCAATGTGCATTGGCTCGTTTAGTTTACACTTGAAGTGGATTGGTCTCTCTAAGCGAGATCCCAATTCGTTGGCCACCGACGTGACATCTCTGTTCCCTCCTTCAGGGAACAGGGTTACATACGTAACCAAGACGATATTCACTACAACCTGCAAAAAGAAAATTTCCTTTGAACTTAAAGAAATTAAGACAGAAATATATACTATTGTACAGTAGACTGTATTTCTGAAAGTAATAATAATAATAACAATAATAATACAATTATTAAAAATTTAAGGAATACAAATTTTACCAGCACAACTCTGTTTGCTAAAAAAGGAATTGTCAGATATGAATTTGATTACATTTTGAAAGCTGAAGTAAATTGTTAATGTTTTATGCCTTCATTTGATTACCACAAATAATAAAATACATTAAACCATTAAAAAGGATTACATAAAAATTCAAATGGAAAAAAAAAAAAAAGAATTTGGGAAAAAAATAAAACATAATTTTTGGGGGGATGACAGAATTTGAGGAAAAACAAAATGGAATTTGTGCAATCAGTCAAACATTCAATCATTAAAATAAATTTGTGAAGAAATTTTTTTTATCGAAAAACAAAACGGAACTGTGAAAAAATAAAACAGAATAAACCTGGACAAACCTGTTTTTATAGGCCTGTTGAGTTATGTCATTGTAT